TTGCAGTTCTTTGATGTATCTCTATGTCTATTATTGTCATCTGTGTTTTTTAGCAGTGATTATGCATCTAGATTTATCCTATACGCCATTATTTTATTGCGTAGGCATCTGATGACGCACCGTTGGAGATTTAGTTGTAGGTGCTAATGACAAATAATTTCAACTTTCTCCAATGCTCCATCCATTAGTTTCCATTTTTCTTTTTCACTAAGCATATCTTTAACTTTCTATTTTCGGCTGTACAAGTTCTTTCTATTGATTTTTGGTTTGGTGAAGCCACTATTTGCCATTATTTTATTGCGTAGGCATCTGATGACGCACCGTTGGAGATTTAGTTGTAGGTGCTAATGACAAATAATTTCAACTTTCTCCAATGCTCCATCCATTAGTTTCCATTTTTTTTTTTCACTAAGCATATCTTTAACTTTCTATTTTCGGCTGTACAAGTTCTTTCTATTGATTTTTGGTTTGGTGAAGCCACTATTTCAAGACTGATATTTATTTACATGTATTTGAATTTCCATGAAAATTAGGTTGTACGAATGCCCAGTATCCTCAGACTAGGGAATTTATACTTTTGCACTTTACTTATGGCTGTTTCTACTTTTTCAGAGAATCTAATGCACACAGAATAAACCTACTATCTTATTCAGAATTTCTACAAGAACCCAAATCCCAGTATAGCAAATGACTAATAGAATCACACCAAGACTGTACCTGATTCCCAATGAATATGAGATCATCTACTGAGAGGTGTAATGAAATCTACCCTTTTGCAACCATATCAGGGCATGATAACTTTGATCAACCTTTCCCTCTTATAATTTGTTCTACAGGTTGTGCCGCTCTTTTGAAAAAGAGTCATTTAAGTTTATGCAAGATGGTCACTAACTGATTAAATCTTCATTCCCTTTAAATGTCCCCAATCACTGGTACCGAAATTTTGGGAGCTCTGTAAAGTTTGAAGGAATTTGTGCATATAAAAAATTGCTGAAGAATGGGAATTTTGGGAGCTCCTCAAGTGACTGTTATTCTTTGAAATGTATTAGAAGTCACTGTTAGTTTTGTAGTACATGGGTAGTGACTCCTTTAACACTGCGTAAAAATAGCTAGTTATATAACTAGATAATTGGTAGGAAGTCTCCCATGGAATCATAACCTTATTAATCGTTTGTTTGTTTGGTCCACTTCACGTGAATTCTGAGGCTTGTTTAGAAATGTGTATTAGACTGTCATTAACTCCTGACTTGTTTCATCTTCATTCTTGAAGTTATTAAATCGTGTCTGAGTTATGTCGTTTATACTGTGGCTTTTAGGCATGCAAGAAGAAATTACGTGACATGCACCTCCGCTCGCATAGATTCTGTTCATAATCTGGAATGTGTACTGCCTTTATATATCTGTAATTTATTAGCATATATGATAATGTATAAGAGAAGATATCATTTCAGCATTTATCCTTTTGTATGCTGGCATGTTCCTCTAATATGATCATGCAATTTAATGGTTCCAATATTCCAAATTTCGAACTTCGATAAAAGCAGATTCTTTGGTTTTATATCATACAGGTCAAATTTCACATCTTATCACATCACAAGCTCCCTAAATGTGGCAGTCCAGATATTGCTTCTATTCGTCACCTCAACATGGAGCAGCTTACCAAAGCACTTACATCTCTATTTAATCTCTATGAAGCAAATCGAGCCCCACATTCGATTTATAAGGATGAAGCAGAATTCCATTCATATTATGTGCTTCTCCATCTCTGTTCTGACAACCAGGTAGTGGTTTATATCTTTAATCTCTCCTGCTTCTGATATTGTTCTTTCTTAAGTTCATAGCCTGAGCTGGTTCATTAATTTAATTGGCTCTCTCTAACCTACAGGGCGAGTCACTCTCTTTGTGGTTCCGTCATGTTCCCTTTGTAATCATGAAGTCAAAAGAGATGTGTTTTGCCCGGAGAATATTGAGGTTAAATTCACTGGGAATTTTTTTTAGCTTTATTCTATTTTTATAACTTCACTTGATAACCTCTCTCTGTTGTATTTATGGTCTAATTTGACTACATTATTCTTTTCTTTTTTTCAACTGTTAACTTCCCTTGTAAGCAGATTTTTCCGATTGGGAAATTACAAGCAATTAATCTATACTACAGAGGCAGAGGCATCCTACCTGCAGTATTGCATTATTGAACGTTACATCAGTGAGGTAGTTTTTCTATATCCGTTTATTTTTCAGTGGCCTCATACTGAAGTGGAATTTCATGACCCCCATAGAACCTTTTCTAATTGAGACGAGAAAAGTATTCCATCCAAAAATGACCTTGATTGTACAAATTTTTGCACAAATATAGGGTATGGATCTCATACCTATTCAAATTCTCTCTCCCACCTGAAAGGTAATAGTGAAAATGAATTGGGAAGAAAAAAAGGGTAGTGAGGTAGGAAAAAACACAGATGGGTCATCTATCTTTAGACACTTGGTCCTACAAATATTAAGCTTGAGAATGGGATGACTTGATAAGTTTATTTACCATTTCAATTATTTAATTGATCAATAATTATCTCTTACTCTTTGGTATTTTTCTTTTTTCTTTATTTTAATCACTCATTGGTCATTCTAGCTGTTGGAACAACCAATACTATGTTCTCTTCTTATTTCATTTTCTTTAGTGATGCTTTATTCGTTCATTTTCTTATTTTTATGCGGAAACTTTTCTATTGGTCAATTGTCAATGTACTTGATGAAAGTTAAAGAGTAATAATGTTGTCCATTCAACTTATTACTCGGTCATTTTCATTTGGTGCTTTTTGGTAGTTTATTACCAAATTTCCATGGCAATTTACTAGAGAGTATAATGTGAACTTCTGAAATTTAATGAGCTTGTGGTTAAAAAAGATTTTATTGTGTTGGACCTATCAATAGTTTAGAGCACATCTCTAGACTAAGCAGTATAAAAAGATATATGTAGCTGCTTTGAATTTAGTGGGAACAATGCATGTGTGGTTGTTGATCTGTTGATTGGATCAGTATACAATTTATTATGTTACTTGTAATAATAAATCTAATAGTTTTCTCTTCTTTATCAACTATATAATAGATACGAGCATTAGCCTTGTCTTGTGTAAATTATGGAGGATACAAGCTTCAACCATATCCACTGACACACCTGTCCAACCTCCTCATGATGCAAGTACGTCATCTGTCTTTCTGTTTCTCAAGATGAAGACCCATCTTCATTTGATGGCATTCTTGTTTGATTTTATTTACAGATAAATATAGCATGTTTGACAAACTCAGGACTTACTCATTATTGTGTGCTCTTCTTATAGGAATCAGATTTGGAATCTCTCTGTGTTGATTGTGGTCTTCAAACGTCCAGTGATGGAATCGGAAAGGTGCTGTTGTCCACTAAGCTAACAAGTTCATGCAATCCCAAAAGGGAGTACCAGAAATACTGTGAACTGGTTTCAGAACGATTAGAGAGGTAAAAGTACACAATTCTCTCGTAGAAAATAATTTTAAATCCTTGGGTTTGGGTTTTGAAAAGGTTAAACCAACTTGAAATAGGAATGTGCAAAGTTGACTTCGAGGTGCGTAGAGAACATTTGTATTTCCTGAATAGCCCACAAGGATGTAATTCATATGATCAGTTTGCTCTAAGCTGGTCAAACTATTTTTAGTTTTAGAAAATTGCAACATCAGAAACAGGAATACAAATATTTTCCTCTCCTGGCAGAAACTTCATGCACATATCATTCGTAATGACTTATGCATGTGCTTCATTATCTATCAAGCTTTGTTTATGGGATGCTAAGTGAGACTTATAGCACTCATGCAGTTGAGGTAGGTTCAGCCTTTACTGAACTTGGGTAGGAGAGGTAATATAATTACAAGATATAGGCCCTGTGGGGTAATGATTTAAATTTGATTTTAATCTAAGTCAAAGTCAAACGATCAATTTTAACCACATATTTCATAGGTCCAACAACTTTTCAACCACAAATTTCAAAAACTTTTATCAAAATCTACTAAAAATCTAATTTTAATCCCTACGAAACAGGGGCATAATCCGTATGGAAAATGCGTCAATACAGGAAACTGTTCTCGTGTTCTGTATGGTTTAGTGAACATTTAAACAAATTCCATTTTGCATGCCAGTGTGCTGCTGTTCTTTAAATGACATAGTTACTTGAAAGTAAAGACTGAAAGATGCCTAGATGGGAGTGGTGGTCACAATTTATTTTTCACTATACATAGACATCTGGATTGGAAGATGAGTAGACTTAGATGGAAAGCAACTTATTGTTCCAGTTGTCGTCCAATCCATTGATATAAATTATATTCCTTTCTTCCTGCTATCAAGAAAGAGATTTAGGAAGTATTTTTTAATAGAAATGCACATAGCCCTCAACTGAGATAACCAAGTCTCATAAGGTAATTGTATTTAGGCTGGAGCTTCGTATCTATTTGTTCGCATGCAGATCTATATCCATGTATTCTTGTCCTGATCGAATATCAATTTTTTTTTTGTCCCCCAGATGGGGAAGATTTATTGAGGTATGGAGGATTTTTTTTGAAATTTTCTCTTTTGGAAACGATGTCGCCAAGTAACTCTTTTTTTGTGTTTCATTTCCTCTATTTGTAGTTTAACAATGGGCTTGGTTTAGCTGTTGTGGAATGCAAATAGCAATTTACTGGATATTATGATTTTATAAACAGGTGATTATGTAGCATAAAAGAGTTTATTCCAGCTAATTGAATTAACTTTCCTGGTTACAGGTTAGCTGCTGAAGTATCAGAGCTGTGATATTTGCAAATTTCTCTCTCATTGAAGTACCTTAGAGGAAAATCAGTTCTTAGCAAGCAATTTATCTACTTGACTGAACTGTAGAAAATTTCTACTTAGCCAGAGATAAGTACAGCTCTTACGTCTATATATTGACAGCAGAATCGTCCTTCAACTGCAGCCTGCTGTAAGAGTGAAGAAGAAGAACACGTTGGAAAACTTCTTTAGCTTCTCTCTTAACCCTTCAGCCATTAACTCATAAATTTCTGTCGCTGATGCAGCAGGTAATTTATATTTCTATAGTTATAGTATTCTGTGTGATAAGTGGATGGCAGAGATCCAGATTTCAAAAAGATGGTCTCTCTTTCTTAACTCTGCAATAAGCAAGCTGCATGTATATTGATGCTATCACTGTAAAAATGCACCTTAGCATCTCGTATATTTTTATCTAGATTGTTTATTATGACAATGGCATCTCTACTAGGTGTTCTATTCTTCGCCAAGAATAGAATTAGTACTGATATTACTCTTCTGGTATTCTGTCTGTATTGTAGTTATTATAATATAGCAGTAATAATGCTAAACAGTGGAAGACTTCAGCAGAACGTGTTTTGAAGCTAACTTGTTATTTTGTGAACCATCTTCCAAAGCTCTTTGTTCATAAATCCAATGTGGTTAATCTCCGGTTTACTGATTCCAGGTTCCAGGTCTTGTAAATTAACTTCCATATTCGGTTCAATTCTCGTTCTCCTGATAATGGGATTTCCCATGGTGCTATTCTCGTTCTGCATGTAACCCTAAGTTTAGCAGAGTTACTAGAAAAAAATTGCTTTCATAGTGTGATTGCAGGGGTAGTAAGCTTCAGTTTATGGGGCTGGTCTCTGACTCGAAATGGAGATGGAGAGAACAAGAAAAGGAACACGAAAGAAAATGAGTGGAGGGATGGCATGTATAATGTGTATGGCATAGAACCTTTCAGTCTTTGATTTCGAAACTTAGTTCATGAATCTTGTTGTGTACTATGTTTCTAAATGAGGGGTTGCGACTATGCGTGTTTAAATATTGGAAAGAAGCTATTATGTTTAGACGTGGGACCA